AAATATTTATTTCTTAGTTGTACACAATACAACTTTATTTTGTTTACTTATTTTTATGTGGTGCTGAGGATCGAATCCAGGAACTCGTGCATGCTAGACGAGCGCTCTACCACTGAGCCACAACCCCAGCCCCAATAGTAATTATTTTTAAAAACACATATCCAATTGGCTCATGATACTTCTCAAGAAGTCTTATAGCCAACATAGTAAAAATGGCTGTCACTGTTCTTTCAGATTTCAGATGCATTATGGAAGAAAATCCACTTACTATCACATTTCAGGAAACTTGACTATGACATATTGATGGCTTCTATAAACTTCATGAAAGTTCTTTCAAAAAAGTGTAAGAGGAAAACTCTGATGTTGTACAAAGAACTCTGCTCCACTCAGGATTCCATGACTAGGGTTCTATTTTGCTGCTTCCATGTAGGAAGGTATCACCACCCTCCCCCCCTTGCAATCAGGCCCTTTAAAGGCTTATAGGTATAATTGATGAAGATCCAGTCTTTGTTCTTGTAGTCTGTCTGCAGGTGATTACTTGTGACCATTGTTAGCATAAGCTGTGGAGACCACACCAACACTAATCAAGTTTGAGGGAGGCAGAGAGGGCAACAAAGAGAAGCTCAGGGAGCCATCATATCAAATCACACAACCATATTTCTTAGAGAACAAATCTATATACCTCCTCTGATATTAGGAAACTGTACCAGGACTGTGGCACTCAGAGCTGGTGGGAGGGAGGAGGTAAGTAAAAATGCTTTCTTACCAAATTTAGGAGCTTCTTCATGCATTAAGCACTCTCTTAATTGTTGTAAGATTTTTTATTAGTCTCAAAGTTCATAAGTTAATAGCTGCTTTAGTGGATGAATGAGTTGTTGGAGTACTCTACAACACTATTCTTGGTGAAGTCAAGAAATATTAAGTTACTGGATACAGTAGCACACACCTGTAATTTCAGTAGCATGGGAGGTTAAAGCACGAGGACCTCAAGTTCAAAGCCAGCATCAGCAATTTAACAAGGCCCTAAGCAACTTAGCAAATACCTGCCTCAAAACATAAAAAAGAGCTGGGGATGTGGTTCAGTGGTTAAGCACCCCTGGGTTCAATCCCAAGTTACAAAAAAAAAAGAAAGAAAAGAAAAGAAGATAGAAAAGAAAAAAATTCTCTTTTAAAGAGATTTTTAAATAATAAGAAAATCTTATGTATCTAACCACGTACCTTTCCATTTAGTATGATTTTCTTTTGATCTGAAGGACATACATTATGAATTCTTTCACCCTCATTATGAATTCTTTCACCTTGAAATAGCTTCATTTGTGAAAGATACTTTTGCTGGGAAAGAATTCTAAATTTACAGCATTTTCCTTTCAGTCCTTCAAACACGTTGCTGATCAGTGTTCTCATTTGCTTTGTCTCCAATACAAAAGCTGCTGTCATCTTTATGATTTTTCCCATGAAGTATTTTCTTCTTCCTCTGCTGCTTTTCACATTCTTTTCTCTGGTGAACAAATACAGGTTATTTCAGCCCTCAATAAAATTTAGCAAAAAGTCTTTGGGAGAACTGGCTGGTGGGTTTTTTGTTTGTTGGTTGATTTTTCATAAATTCTTAAAAGCAGATGTTTGTCTCTCACTTAATTGATTCTCATGTAAATTTTCTTAGAATATTTTTGACCTGGGAAATTTTGTAATTAACTTTATATGTCAACTTGGCTGGGCCATAGTGCCCAGATATTTGTTAAAACATTGTACTGGATGTTTACCAGAGGGTGTTTTATGGATGAGATTAACAATTAATTTGTAGTTTGAGTAAAGCAGAATGCTCTCCTCATTATTACTGGATTTCATTCAATAGTTCAAACCTTGACTAGAACAGAACACCTGAACAACAGTGTCTGGAGAGCTTCCATATTGCTGATCCACGTGCTGTGAGGGTGATGTACCCCAAATTCATAGGACCAAAGGCTTCTGCACTTGGACCACTTCTAGATCTTATCTGTATACCTCTACCTCTGGCTGCTTGTTTGTGCCCTTTATAAACTGTAATAATAAACGGCCTTTACCTCGGTTCTGTTAGGTTTTCTATGAAATTATCAACACTTAGGAAAGAGGCTACAGAAACCTCCAACATTATACCAGGTAAAAGAGAAGTGTAGGTAACCTAGGGTCTCCATGCTTGCTCTGGCATGTTAAATGAGGGAAGCCTTGTGGGAAGAGCCCTTGAACTTTTAGAATGTGACATTAACATAAGGTAGTCTTAGGATTCAATAGCAGAACTCCCAGTTGCTGGTGGAGAATCACATACTTGGATGGATAGAGGGAAAAAATTCCCTTGCCATCTCTCAAAGACAAATTCCAGAACAAAAGATGAGCAAAATATGAGGATTTACTTCATGTCCTCAGATCTGCTAAAAACAATGCTACCAGCTAGTCATGGTCCAGACTGACTGTAGCACCATATCTAAACTGGAAGATTCAGGGTTTTTTTAAGGCCTTGAAGCACTCAACACAAAAAACTGATAGATGTTAGAGGTTCTCTCCCTAGAAACATTTTCATGCACAAGAAAATACAAATATTCCTAGAAAACATCAGTTTACATGCAGATTCTCTGAAGAGTACAGACTTGGCTGTTTTAACACTACTAATAAGAGACAAAGGCTAGGAGGTGTTTTTAGTGACCATTCACCATCCCACAAAGACACTTCAATTGTCTCAAGTATAAGCTGATTTAGACCAAAACTGGATCTAGTAACACATTTTTAAGGGAATGTATGAGAAGATGTCATTCATTAGTTACTTATTCATCATCCAAACCTGAGAATCTACAAACAACACATGAAGTTCTAGTCCCTGATCACTGTTCCAAAAATTAGAATGTTCCTTTCTTTCTCCATTCCTCAGCCCTGTCACTAAAATCTCTTCCTAAGTTAGGGTAATTCCACACTTTTGTCTTGTTAAGAGTCAGAAACCACTTCTCTCCATAAAAAGACAAACTCCACCTCCCAGGCATTATTATAGGGGAACACGACATGAGGCTTCAGCTTCACCAGTCAGATGACCACATGCTGGACTCTGACCAGGACATGATGACAGAGGGGCTGGGGAAGGATAGACACATTTGGGATAGTGGCTCAAGTGGAAGTAGTAATGACCAGTTCCCAGCATCAGCAGCAACAGCAGTACCAGTCACAGAATCCTTTGTTAGTCATCAGAGTATCAGTGGTGTGATCAGTGGCACCTGTGCCAGCAGCAGGAACAGTGGAGCCTACATGGGATCTGACCTAGGTTAGGATTATAGTTTCTGTCCTTGGCTACATAACATTAAGCCTGGTTCTGTGACCTTCCCAAACATGTAATTAGCTCCCAATATGACATATACTTTACATGAAAGCAGAAAATTTCTGGATTCCATTATTTACTCTAAGAAGTGATAAATGGGTTTGGGGAGTCATTTCAGAGAGAAGCAACAGAGATATTCTCCATGCTGAGCTCTGATCCACTTTCTGCATAGTCCACCTGGCTGTACTTCATGGGGTGATAACAACATGATCTTCCAATTCACTATCATGATTGACAACATAAGTCAACCTTTTCTTTCTAAGGAAAAAAACTTTAAGGTTTTAATACATATCCCACCCTGGGTTAGCTCTGATCACACACCTCAATCCCACTGAGCACCAAGATGGCCTCTGTTAAAAAGAGAATAAGTTATACTTCCACCTAACATGATAAGACTCTCCTGCATACAACTGAACTACACCATCCCTTTCCTAACACAGGATGCAAAGTCCCTCTGTGATGTCCTCTCCTCCTCCCCTTGATAGACATACCAAAATGCAAAACACTAAGACATACACTTAACAATGCTTAATACTATGATAAACAGTAAAAATTATTTATGTTACATATAAAAGGGTGAGATTCAAGAAAATAAGTATATTTGATTAATAAATACATACCACAAACATATTCATAATAAAATAAAGAAGATATGCAAATGAAAATTACAGTCCTCTCCTCTGAAAATGGTCATGTGTTGCTGCTAGTACTCATAACTATCTTCTTCCACCTCTCATTCCATATTCCCTTCAATTCAGCAAGTAGTTCAGCTGCCTGTAGTATTTCTCCTGCTGTGGTGATGCCAACCTTCATTCCCCCTGAAGGGTCCTGGCCACTCTTAGTTCTGCCTGAGTTGGGCTGATGTAGTTTCCCATGGACATTAATCTCAGGGGATGTAACACTAAGAGGCACCCTAAGGGAATCCTGTATTCCAGACATTCCCTTCCTTCCCTCCCTGGGGAGCAGCTGTCCCATGTCCCCCTGGCTGCCAGGATCCATCACTCAGGCCCACCAGCTAACTCCACTCTTGGGCTCTTGACTTAAAGCAAGAAGAGCCCAACATGGCCAGTGACAGTTGACCTTTCCAATTCAGTGAACTCATTGTTGTCTCTTGATGGAAGCATTTCTTCTGTGAAACTAATATCTCTAGGCCAGCAGGACATAAGGTCTTGGGACAGGAAGCACACAGTGGGTCACTGGGGGCCATAGTGAGAGTTGCCACTCCCATTCCCATTTCTTGATTCCTGGACAAATGAATCCTGGCTGTTGGGAAAACAGTGCTACTCAGACACTAGTTCAGCCTCCTGAGGGACCTTGCCCCAGCCTGCAAGGTGTCTCCATGTAGCTGCCACTGTCATGGAGTCTTCAAAAGGCCACAGCACCCCTCATCAAGCCAGGTACCTCAGGAGGAGGGAGAAGATGGTAGGAGCAGAGATTCCGGAGTTCAGACTGTGGTCACACTTCTTTGGCTGTGAAGGAATTTCTGGGGCAGAAGCAGAGCTCTGTGGACACCATGACAAGGCATTTGTCAGATGAAGCCCAAGCTCTCTAGGGCCTTTAGGCTACAGATCTGGAAGCCCCTCTGACATCATCTCAGTCTTTCTCTTCTCTTTTATGCACACACACACACACACACACACACACACTTACACACTCATTCCGCCCTGTCACTTGCAGTGCAGCTTCTCCTGGCATTGAAAGAACTCCTCCAGGTGTCCTCATAGCTAATTACCTCAGGTCCTGACGTCTCTCCTCAAATCTCACTTTCTTCATGATGCCCATGCTGCCCACCCTAGCACACAGCCCTCTTCGCTGCCTCACATCTTCGCTAGATCACCTTCCCTATATTACTTCCTGCCACTTCCTGCCATGAAAACTACCCATTGCCTAGATGAAATTTTCCACCTCTGCCCACTAGGACACCTGCTACTCAGAGAGGACAACTGATTTAATTTCACTCATGTTTCCCAGGTACAGAAACAGTGTAACAGATCTGACACACAGTAAGTATCAGTTGGATGAATGATCACTCTGGAGCATCTCCCTCTTCTAGAGACACTATCATTATTAATGGAGCCTCAGGCCAAAGGCTGCTTGTGGCAGCTACAGCACAATGTCCTGTCACACAGAAGTCCAGGTTGTCTGCACTCTTCTCCTAAGAGCTGCTCTTCCTCCCTCCCTCCCTCCACCCACACCAGCCCTCCTGCACTCTACAGCACATCATTTCATTTTCCCCTTTAGGAGAAAAAAAACCCTAAGCAGATGGATTTAATTTTTCACCAGATATAATTTAGATGCAAAGCAAGAGACCAGAACTCATTCACAAGAATAAGAACAGGCATAATCCTCTACAGAAAAAAAAAAAAAAACCCAAAAATGGGAGCTAAGGGTTGAACTCAGGCATGAGCCACGCTGATCTGGCCACACAAACCCTTTCTGCCTCTGGTCCTGGACACAGGACAAGGCCCAGGCAATGTCTGAGTGCCTGTGACCACAGGTCTAGTGGACAAGACTCTACTGAGTACAACCAGCTGTTGAGTGACCACATCAAAGCCCACAGAGACTGAGCACTGCCTGGCTGGCTGCAGCCCTGCCCACATGCAGCTCCTCACGGCCTTCTCCTGTGCCCACTACAGAAGACTCAGCACAGCACACACATGGATTCTGGGAGGTTCTCAGGTCTCAATTTGTTTTCTCTCACAAATTGTGGAATCTTGTGCCCCTTGAATAACCTCGTCAATCTCTCTAAAGGGCAAGAATTTGAAAAACACATTCATACCCAGATTCTTGTTTTCAATAGTGAAATAAGAAGATGCAGCTCAATGCAACATAAAGTTAAACCAGGGGTAGAGACATCCTGGCCCCATTTCTGATACAGAAGGGAACACAGGTTAGTATGGGGAAGAGGGTCCTATTGGGCAGGGATAGGCTGGTTATTCCACCTCTTCACATTTTACCAATAGGAACTCAGACACATCCAGAGCCATTTGCAGAAAAAGAATTAGAGAAGTTCACTAGAAGTCGCAACATTCTGAACATCACTCACTCAAAAGGTCCAGATACAGGGTCCCCAGAACCCAGCTGTGCCCCCTCCATTCTATCTCTTCCCCCTTTCCAACCCTCCTTTAGAAGTCATGAGAGACTCATTAAACCCCTGGGACTCTTTCCTGCCCAGGGTAGAACAAGAGCTAAAGAAAAGAAAACTACTCAGAGTCCAAAGGAGCTATAGCTAAAGAGAATCATGGGGTAGGTCAGCTCCCCACTGGGCTCCTGTTCATACTACCCCAAGGGTCTCAGTGATCATTCTCCGACCTATACTTATTTGTAGCCTGAGTGTAGCTTTTTCCTTTCCATCAGTAGATAGAAAGTGTCCTGTGAGAGGTCAGGGAGGATGCAGGGCCATGAGGTTCTAGAGAAATCCCCTGGTTCTAAACCAGTGACATTTCCAGGACTGTGACTGCAGACCCAGGGAAGGATCGGGAAGCATGAGGAAAATGACCTGGGACTGCTGGGAATCAGGTCCCCATGGTCATGATCATCAGGGTGAAAAGTTTCCTGTTTTTCACCTGTGCTTTTTAAGAAAGTTTCAGCACTTAGGGCCTCACTCTGGGTACACATGCATGTGAATGGTGCTCCTCAGTAATAAGGCAAAAGACTGGAAAACACCTGCTTGTGGCTTGAAACCCATAGGGGGACAAAAAAGAATTCAGACTTCACCTCTTTTTTATCTGGCTCTTCCACTTCACACTAGCAAACCCAACTCCAAAGAGAAGGAGGCCAGGAAGAATTCCAATCATGGAGAAGGTGTGCTGACGAGATAGCTCTGGGAAGGGAAAAGAGGGAAGATGAGATGCTATAACCACCAGCTCTCAGCCCTGAGAATGGCTCCTGCTTTCTTGGCAGGAGGCTTTATGCCCTCATACCCTACTTACCCCATCTCAGGGTGAGGGGTTCAGGCAGCCCCTCATGATGCACATGGCATGTGTACTTATGCTCCTCCCCAGCAGGCACCACCACAGCTGCCCACTTCTGGAAGGTTCCATCCCCTGCAGGCCTGGTCTCCACAAGCTCCATGTTCTGAATCTGGTCCTCCCCATCCCTCTGCCAAGTCAGGGTGATCTCCTTAGGGTAGAAGCCCAAGGCCCAGCACCTCAGGGTGACATCTCCTTCAGGGCTTAAGTGATGGGTCACATGTGTCTTTGGAGACTCTGAAGGGAAGAATTAGAAAAATAAGACATTTTGGTGCTGGAGCTATAGCTCACTGGTAGAGTGCTTGCTTAGCACATATGAGGCATGGGTTCGATCCTCAGCACCACATAAAAATAAATAAATAAAATAAAAGTATTTTGTCCATCTACAACTAAAAATATTTTTTAATAAGACATTATCTCCCATGGCCACTGAACCAGTGCTCATGTGACCATACTAAGTACACACAGGACAATGGAAGTAAGGAAGGAAAGCAAAACCCAAGCACCAGCCTGGACTCAAGCTTCTGAGATAATCTCCTTTTCCTTGGAAAGTTGTAGAATCAGACTGACCAGGGAAAGATGCCCCAGATCTCTAAGAGGGACTTCAGGTTCTGACCTGAATGGAGGCCCAGAGACTCACAAAACCTGGAGTCACACCTCAAACAATTTGAATGTGGAGCTGAGAACAAGGCCTGAGAAAGTCACCTTGTGGTACCCAAGGCTGCTGTCAGGGTCAAAGCAATGTGCTCTTAAGTTTGTTCAGAGATCTTCTCCCTCCCCATTCCAAGAAAGACTTGATGCCTTAATTGTCTTGAGAGGAGGGAAGGCCCTCTGGTATTCTGTTAGCAATTCCATTTTTGTCCAAACTATGTCGGGCTCCCCTCATCCCCTGGTACCTGTGTGCAGCAACTTGTTCTTCCCTTTCTCCAGGAATCTGCGGAGCCACTCCAGGCACTCCTCCTGCAGGTAGGCCCTGTAGTGCTCTGCATCTCCTGAATCCTCCCATTTGCGCTGGGTGATCTGAGCAGCCTTGTCCCACGTGGTCCAAGAGCGCAGGTCCTCATTCAGGGAGATGTAATCCGCACCATCATAGGCAAACTCCTCATATCCACGAAGGAGGCTTCCATCTGGCCCAAGGTCACAGCCAGAAATCCACTGGAAGGTGTGAGAGCCTGGCCCCGCCCCGGAAGTCAGACTGGCTTTACTCTAGCTTTTAACATCTGGTGCTTAACTCGGCCAGCCCAACCCGGGAGCGGGGTGGTGGGGGGGTGGGGGGGGTGGATTGGTCTAAGGCTTCTGCATAAATGTAAAATGAACCTCCAGCGAACTCGCCCAAGTTTTCTGAGTCGAGGGGCCAAGGGATGTTGGGGGCCTGGAAATGAAACTAAGTCTCGGAGACTGTAGTCGACCATGGCCTGTCCCAAAGAAATGGGGGCATTTGTCCCCTGCCACCCGGTCCCGGGTCACTCACCGTCCTCGCTCTGGTTGAAGTAACGGAGGGTGGAGCGCAGGTTCCAGCTCAATTTCTGTGCATGAGCCTTAGCATCTTGGTTTGCGCTTCCCAAAACTCTTGTGCCTCAAATTCCATCCACTGCACCCGCGGCTCCACCCTCGGATTCGGGGCGTCGCTGTCGAAGTGCAGGAACAGTGTGTCGTCCACATAGCCCACCGAGGTGTAAAAAGACTCTTCGTGGCCAGGTCGGGACACGGAGGTGTGGAAATAACGCAGGGAGTGGGGCCCTGAGGACAGAGAGCACCTAAGACCCGATGCGACCACCTCCTGGGACAGGACCAGGGTCCCAGGTTGATGGGCCGTGATGGGAGGAGGGGGCGAGGGGACTCGTGAGACTGAAAGGGGGCAGACCGAAAGGACTGTATGATCGGTGATTCAGATCGGGACAGGGCGAGTCTGAAATGGAGGGAATGTTCAGGCTTCACAAGGTAGAAATGCCGCGTCCCTGAATCTGTGACCCCACTGAGAAGTCCCCTAGATCCTACCCACAGAGGCTGTTTCCCGCCCGACCCGGTACTCACTCGCCCAGGTTTGGATCAGGGTTAGAGGCCCGAAAAGCAGCAGGAACAGAGTTCTGAACTTCATGACTCACACCTCCATGGACAGGGAGAATCAGTTCCTGCAGCGGTGCCTGGACCTTGTCACCTGGAATTGCGGCGACAACTCTGATTGGCTTCTCTAGAAACCACTGGTGTGAGAGTGAGAACCGTGGACGCGTCATGAGTCACCAGGCAGAAGAATTCAGGTTGAAAGAGGAGGAAGTGAAACTCCTGGAAAGTGGGGATTTGGTTTCCTTCTGGTTCCCCAACCCCAGAAACCTCCTTCAGGCCTGAGACCTTGAGCCACGCCTAGGACCTGCGGTTTTCTTCTGACCTTTCTCCTCCAGCACCAAGCTGTCTTTCTCACATCATCTCTCTGAGTCCTGGCCCAGAGGCTGTTTGAAGAAGCCAAGGATAGACCTTCTAAAAGAAAGCACCTCCCCAGGGAATATGATGTCAGAGAGTGAGCAGCCCTGGGGAAAGGAGGTGGAGAAGCAATGGTTTCCTTTTCTATCTTAGAGAAGTGCCTGGGAAACCACACAGAGATTCCCAGAGACTTTTTTCCTTTGATTTACCCGCTGAGGGAAGCACAATTTTCACAGTCTGCAATGATCTGGATTCCTATCTACCCCTAGTGATTTTACCCTTCATATATAAATGTGTCTGAGCCCACACTGTGGCCCATGCTGGTAATCCCCAGCTCTTAGGATTAAACTAAGGTTTTAACCTTACTTTAGGTCCTCTCATACTGATATCTGGAATGATTGGGCTTTTCTCGCAAGTGCTGCCCTCTCTCTCCCTCTCCCTTTCTCTCACCAGCCCTCCTCCCTCCACTTCATAGCACAGGATCATATTTCTCCAACACAGAATGATCCTTAATTTATGGGTCCTATTTTCCAAGTAAATATAAATCTAAATTAGACTCTGCCTTATGTATTTTTGCATTTACTTTGAAGCCAGTACCAGGATTACTGGAACTTAGGGCTGGGAGGGGGATAAGTAGGCAGAGCAGAAAAAGAATTCCAACAAGAATTAACCTAAGATGAGAAACTGTGGTATCCCTCCTCTCTGCTAATTCTAAAATCTGATATTGGATTTTTAAAGATTATGGAAAAGAAGGCATTTAAGTAAACAGCTCTGGAAAGAGGTCAGGACCTCATGAGTCTGAAGATTCATCTCTTGATAATATAGAGTCACCTGTTTAGGGACCTGTGTAAGAGCAATGATGGGGGCGGGGGCAGGGGAGGGGAGGGGGGGGGAGTAGCTCTTGCTAATGTCAGCGACAGGGAAAATCCAGAGAAGGTTTTCAGAGCCTTTATTTCTTTTCTTTATTTTATTTCTTTAGAAATGTCCTTTAATTACTTGACCAAATCCTCATGTCAAGAGTTTGAAAAAATCTTGTTTCCATTCTTAGTCTTCTGAGGAATCTCCATCCTGCTTTCCAAAGTGGTTGTACTAATTTGCAGTCCCATCAACAATGTATAACTTCTTCCCCTCATACTCACCAGCAATTATCAATATTTGTTCATATCATATTGGTTTGTTCATTTTGTTTTGTTTTATTTTGGTTTTGGTTCCAGGGATTGAACTTTATCACTGAGCCACATCCCCAACTCTTTATTTACATTTTATTTAGTGATAGGGTGTCACTGAGTTGTTTAGGACCTCACTAAGTTGCTGAGGCTGGCTTTGCACTCCCAATCCTCCTGCCTCAGCCTCCCAAGCTACTGAGATAGCAGGTGTGTGCCACCTCGCCTGCTTCATTATTTGTATTCTTGATGATTGCCATTCTGACTGGGGTGAGATGAAATATCAATGTAGTTCTGATTTAAATCTTCCTGCTTGCTAAGTATGTTGAATATTTTTTTCATATATTTCTTGATCATTTGTATTTCTTCTTTGGAATAATGTCTATAGATCTTTCATTCATTGATTGAGTGGGTTATTAGGTTTTGTTGATGTTAAGTTTTTTGAGTTCTTTTCATATTCTGGTTATTAATCCCCTGTCAGAAGACTAGCTGGCAAAGATTTTGTCCCATTCTGTAGGCTCTCTCTTCACACTCTTGTTTCCTTTGTTATACAAATCCTTTTAATTTGATTCTATTCCTATTTTTGATTCTTGGTTTCATTTCTTGTGCTTTAGGAATCCTAGTAAAGAAGTCAGTACCCATGCAAATGTGTTGGAGTATGCTCTTCTGGCAAGTTTCAAATGTTTCTGCTCTATTTCCTTTGATCCATGGTGAGTTGATTTTTGTGCAGAGTGAAAGGCAGCAATCTAATTTCATTCTTCTATATGTGGCTTTCCATATTTTGCCAGCACTATTTGTTACAGAGGCTATCTGTTCTCCAATTAATGCTTGGAAAGCAGTATGGAGATTCCTCCAAAGACTAGCAATGAATGGAACCACTATATGACCCAGCTATCCCACTCTTTGGTCTTTATCCAAAAGAACCAAAATCAACATACTACAATAGTACCTGTATACCAATGTTTATAGCAGCACGATTCACAATAGCCAAGTTATAGAACCAGCCTAAGAACCCATCAGTAGAGAAATGGATAAAGAAAATGTGATATATATACACAATGAGTTCCACTCAGCCATAAAGAACAATGAAATGATGTCATTTGCTGGTAAATTGGTGGAACTGAAGATCATCTTGCCAAGTGAAATAAGCCAGACTCAGAAAGTCAAGGGTAAAATGTTTTCTCTCATATGCACAATCTAGAGAGGGGGAAAAATGGGGTGGGGGAAATCTCACAAAAATAGAAAAGAGAGCAGTAGAGTAAAACAGGGGACCAAGTGGAGGAATCTGGGGATGGAAAGGGGAACAATCAGGGAATAAAGTTGACCAAATTATGCTATGCTGATGTATGAATGTATCACAATGTATTGCAATTTTAAATAAATAACTATAGTACACCAATTTAAAAAAAACAAATAAACAGAAGGAAAACCAATAGAGTAGAAAGAAGGGAGTCAGGGGAGAGGGAGGATGGGAGAGAAGGAGATAGAAATGGAGAAAATTGCATTTAGATGCAGTTATGAATATGTCAAAATGAATCCCACTATTATGTACAACTAAATGCACTAAAAATCAAAAAATAAAATTAAAAATCAATAAAAAGAATTTGAAAAAATAAATGTATGCTCAGGTTCTTATTTTTACTACAGAAGTTAAGAAGCTGTAGCTCAGGGCACCATGATGTTGAGACAGGGATGGAGACAACCCAGCCCTTCCTTTGCTGAAGAAGAAGGTTGATTGTGAAAGGGAACACAGGTCAGTGTGGTAAAAGGCATCCTGGTGGGAAGGAGTGTGCTGGTCTCCCCACCTCCTCACATTATGCCAGTAGGAATGTGGGCACATTTAGATACCTCTGCAGAAAGAGATCCAAGGTTCTTCAAGTCACAAAGAGGAGGCCTGAACAAGTCTTATGTCACTCAATCCTACACAGGGAGTTGTCTCATGCTACAGAACAAAAGAATCAGGCACAAATTCAAGGCAGTCGTTACATGTAACAACATGTTGAACAACCCATCAATCAATCAAAAGGTCCAAATTCAGAAAGTTCTTATACCCAGTCCTGTCCTCTCTGCCCCACCCCCTCTTTTACTTCAGTCCTCCAGGTTCTCACCTTTATAAGCCATGAGAGACACGTTAGAGCCCTGGGCAATGTCACTACCTGGGGCAGAAAAAGAATATTAATCAGCTTTTCACCGCCATGACAAAATACCTGAGAAAACTGAAAGGAGGAAATATTTATCTGTGGCTCACAGGTACAGAAGTTTCAGTCCATGATCCACTGCTCCATTGTTTCTGGGCCTAAGTTAAAACAGTACATCATAGGGGCTGGGGTTGTGGCTCAGTGGTAGAGCGCTCACCTAGCATGTGCAGGGCGCTGAGTTCAATCCTCAGCACCACATAAAAATAAATAAAATACAGGTATTATGTCCAACTACACTAAAAAATATATTTTTAAAAAAACAGTACATTATAATGGCAGGAGCATGTGGTGGAGGAAGCTACTCATCTCATGGCAGCCAGGAAACAGAGAGAGCAAGAAGAGACTAGGGACAAGGACATACCCTCAGTGACTTATTTCCTCTGCCTATACCCTGACTCCTACAGTTTCCATCACCTCTCAATAATCCATCATCTTCAATAGTCCATTCAGTTGTGAATCCATTCATGGGATCAGAGCCCTCCTGATCTGATTACTTCCCAAAAGCCCTAATGGGAACCAAGCCTTTGACACATGAGCCTTTGAGAGACACTTCAAATCCAAACTATAACACAAATATAGCAGAGCCCATAGAAGATATAAGTGAGTGAGCTGCCCCATGGGCTCCTGACTGCACAATCCCAAGGATCATCCCCTCCAGCATTCTTACTTGGAGTCTGAGCATAGCTCCCTCTTTTTCAACCTTTGAGAGGCCAGGAAGGAGACTGGGCCATGAGGGTCTAAATGAATCCCCTAAACCTGGACTCCAGGGAAGTTTACTGAACTGTGGCTGTAGACACAGAGAAAGATCAGGAGGCATAAGGAAAGGAGATGTGCAGGGTCTGAATCAACATGACATCTGTCCTCAGCAGAAATACTCTCCTGACCTCTAATTGCTGGGAATCAGGAGACCCTGATAGATGAGCGTGTGTGTGTGTGTGTGTGTGTGTGTGTGTATGTGTGTCTCGCTTCCTATTAGTGAGGCAGTGCTTAAAACAAGAAAACTCACACTCCTCTTCCCTTGTGTGGTTCATCTTCATCCAAATTGCAATAACAACCACAGCTCCAAGGACAACCAGGCCAGCAATGATTCCCACAACGTAGATGATGAGCTGAGGACGTGGCTCTGGAAACAGAAGGCAAGGGAGGTTCAGGCCCTTGATCCTGCAGAGAGAACAGCTCCTGCTTTCACTGACAAGCGGCTCTGTGCCCACCTCCTTACCCCATCTCAGGGTGCGGGGCTCAGGCAGCCCCTCATGATGCACATGGCATGTGTATCTCTGCTCCTCCCCAGCAGGCACCACAACAGCTGCCCACTTCTGGAAAGTTCCATCCCCTGCAGGCCTGGTCTCCACAAGTTCCATGTCCTGGGTGTGATCTTCCCCATCCCTCTGCCAAATCAAGGTGATCTCCTTCGGGTAGAAGCCCATGGCCCAGCACCTCAGGGTGACAATTCCTTCAGGTCTGGGGTGGTGGGTCATATATGTCTTTGGGGGATCTGAAGGGTAACGTTCAAAATTCAACCATTTTGCATTCTTTGTGGGCCATTCCAGTCTTATTCATGTGACCTTACTAAACGGACACTAACCCAGCCACAGATTATCTGGGATGATCTATTCATTGTTCTAGACTCAGGGTGAGCCAACCCATGGTAGAAGACTCCAGAGTTCTGTGGGAAAGAAAAAGAACTACTCGTCCTGACTGAGTGGAGACTGGGAGACTCAAAATAACTGCAGTCAGACCTCCAAAGACCTTGGGTTTGGGGCAGCGAACAAGACCTGGAACAGGTCATGGTTCACATCTGCTGCCTGAGTAAAAGAGGACTGCTACTCAGCTATTTTGGGGATCTTCTCTCCTTCCATTCTGAGACAGATTCTTAATTGTCCTCAGAGCGATCCCTCCAGCGAATTACTATCTAGTGTTGGATATGAAAACCCAGGAACACTTATCCGGGTTCCAAAGCAAAAGAGAGTGGCAGTATTTTGGAGACGATTCCATTTTCCTCTTCTCAGCGGGAGATGTCGGTCCCAATCCCAGGACAGATGGGGAGGTTCCCTGAGGTCCCTTGCACCTGTGCGCAGCAACGTCTCCTTCCCGTTCTCCAGGTATTTGCCAAGCCACTCCACGCAAGGGCCCTCCAGGTAGGCTCTCCATGGCTCGGAGGCACCAGCCGCCTCCCACTTGCGCCGGGTGGCCTGAGCCACCGAGTTCGCTGCAGTCCAGGAGCTCAGGTCCTCGTTCAGGGCTATGTAATCCGTGCCGTCGTAGGCTGACTGACGGTACCCGCGGAGCAGGCGGCCTTCAGCCTCCAGGTCGCAACCAGAAGAGATCTGGAGGGTGAGAGCCTGGCCCCGCCCCCGCGGTCAGTCCAGTCCGCCTGGCCCCGCCCCCCGCCCAGACTAACCCGCGAGGATTTTTACTAAAACTGAAAACGAAACCCGGTTAACACTTCCTGGTTCCAGGGTCTCCGAGGGTCCCGCAGCCTCGGTGTGACCCTCTAACCAGGGTACCCGGGGCTACTTGGACCCATCCGTGAAGATCCGTCACGTCCCACCCGGGCCTGGGGTCACTCACCTCCCTCGCCCTGGTTGTAGTAAACTCGTAAATTGTTCAAGCTGCCCCAGTAAATCTGAGCAGCGTCCTTAGCCTTCCTGGTCTCCCGGTCCCAATAATCCGGCCCCAACTGCTTCATCCACTGCACCCGCGGCTCTGCCCTCGGCGTCGTCCCGGAGTCGCTGTCGAAGCCAAGGAACTGCGTGTGGTCCACGTAGCCCACGGAGATGAAGCGGGGCTCCTGGGGGCCAGGCCGGGACACCGCGGTGTCGAAATACCTCAGAGAGTGGGAGCCTGGGGAAGGGAAGCGGCTGAGTCCCGGTGCGACCCTCCTCCCGGCCCCGGTTGAGAAGTCCAGGTCGTGGGGTTGGGATGGGGCTAGGGGCTTGTGTGACCGAACTGGGGCAGCGGGACTGGAAGGCCCTGACGTAGACGGAAAGGAGGAAGCGGGAGACTAGGAACAAGGACAGAGAGTGGCTGGGATGAGGCAGGGTCTGGGCCGGTGGCGGCGGGACGCAACTACTCCAGGTCCTGTGCCTCTGCCTGATGGTCCCCTCGCTCCTTCCTCGTGGAAGCGGTTTTCCTCCCGACGCTGCACTTGCCTGCCCAGGTCTCGCTAGGGGTCAGCACCCCCGAGAGCAGCAGAAACAGGGTTCGGGGAGCCATGACCCCGACCCGTGGGATTTAAGGAAGAATCAGTCTCTGTAGACTTTCCAGTCGGAAACCCGGGCGAGGCTCCGACTGGCTTCCCTAGAAACCCTACGTGCAATGGGAATGAGAACTGGTGCAGCGTCATTAGTGTCCAGGCAGAATAACCCGGCACAGTTTGGAACCCAGGAAATGGTGCATTCTTATGCATGCCTTCCTCTTCCCAGACACTGCCCTCGGGCCTACTAAGTAACAATTAAAAGTTATAATAAATGTTATGAGATCTCTTTCAAAATAGCCAATTATATTTGTTATGGTTTAGATGTGGTGTTCCCCCAAAGCTCACGTGTGAAACAATACAAGAAGGTTTGGAGGAGAAATGATTGGGTTATATAGCCTTAGCCTAATCGTTGATGGGATTAACTGAAGTGGTAGGGTGTAACTGGAGGAGGTGGTAATTGGGGCGTGGTTTAGGTGTATATATTTGTATCTGGAGAGTGCAATCTCTATCTCTGCTTCCTGATCACCATGATGTTAGCTGCTTCCCCCGACTACACTCTCCAGCCATGATGTCCTGCCTCACCCTCAGCCAGAGAAATGGAGCCTTCTGTCAACCTCTGAAATAGTGAGCTCTCAAATAAACTTTTCCTCCTCTACAATTATGCTGGTTGGGTCTTTCAGTCACAACATCAAGAAAGCTGGCTAAAACAATATTCTCTTCACTGGTAGCTGTGCATTGACTGTTTTATGAATCATCCACATCTGGTTATTGAGCTTTTCATTGCTGTGACTAAAATACCTGACAAGAACAACACAGAGGAGAAAAAGTTGATTTTGGCATACAGTTTCAGAGGTTCAGTCCATGGTGGGCCAACTTCATTCTTTTGGGCCCAAAGTGAGGTAAGACATCATGACAAAAGGACATGGTAGAGGAGTGCTGATCCTTTCAAATCAGCTGGAAAGCAGAGAGAGAAAGGGGAAAGGTCTGCAAAGAAGATGAACCCTTCCTAGGCATGATCCCAGTGACCCAACTCCTCCAGCCATGTGCCACCTGCCTTCAGTTATCACCCAGTTAGTCCAAAGAGGAGGGACTGATTAGGTTACAGCTCTGACAATCCAATCATTTCCCCTCTGAACATTCTTGTATTAATACAGAAGTTGGGGGCACCTCAATCCAAACCATAACAACATCTAAGGGATGTTTTTATTTTATTGGAAAACTTGGTTGTGGTATTTTTTTAATGTGATTGACATAAGGAGACAATTAATTTTTAGGCAGCCCCACTGAATATATTGAATAATAAATGCAAAATATATGTGCTAGACTCTATAGTTATAAATATTAACCTATTAAACTTATAAAACAGCATACTTAAATCTAAGGATGACATTGCTTTAAAATTTTTTAACTCTCCTTCTTTTCCTCACCTCACTCTTTTCTAACCCTTTTCTGTCACTCCCATCCTAAAGGCCTTCTTCACCCCTTAGCCCCCACCACCCCATCATTCCCGAACTGTGGCAGTAGTTCCCTCACCTGCCACCTATGATTATTGTCCTCACCATGGTCAGCTCCCCATGAATGGGCTGCCTCAACTTGGACCCAGAATGATGGAGTCACCATCTATGGACTGAGACCTCTGAAACAGTGAGCCGCAAATAAACTTTTCCTCCTCCAAGTTGTTCTTGTCAGGCATTTTGGTCACAATGACAAAAAAGCTAATTAAAACATATCCCCAGCAAATAGAGACATTAATTTTTGTTGAATAAATAAATGAAATATGACTATAATAAAATGAAATTTTTTTTAATTTTTTTTATTGGTTGTTCAAAACATTATAAAGCTCTTGACATATCATATTTCATACATTAGATTCAAGTTGGTTATGAACTCCCAATTTTACCCCAAATACAGATTGCAGAATCACATCGGTTACACATCCACATTTTTACATAATGCCCTATTAATAACTGTTGTATTCTGCTACCTTTCCTATCCTCTACCATCCCCCCTCCCTCCCCTCCCATCTTCTCTCTCTACCCCATCCACTGTAATTCATATCTCTCCTTGTTTATTTTCCCATTCCCCTCACAACCTCTTATATGTAATTTTGTATAACAATGAGGGTCTCCCTCCATTACCATGCAATTTTCCTTTTCTCTCCCTTTCCATCCCACCTCATGTATCTGTTTAATGTTAATCTTTTCTTCCTGCTCTTCCTCCCTGCTCTGTTCTTAGTTGCTCTCATTATATCAAAGAAGACATTTGGTATTTGTTTTTTAGGGATTGGCTAGCTTCACTAAGCATAATCTGCTCTAGTGCCATCCATTTCCCTGCAAATTCTATGATTTTGTCATTTTTTAGTGCTGCGTAATACTCCATGGTGTATAAATGCCACATTTTTTTTTATCCATTCATCTATTGAAGGGCATCTGGGTTGGTTCCACAGTCTAGCAATTGTGAATTGTGCTGCTATGAACATCGATGTAGCAGTATCCCTGTAGTACGCTCTTTTAAGGTCTTCAGGGAAAATAAAATGAAATTGTATCACACAAAAATCAAAATGAAAAATACAAAAAAAATTTAGGAAAGGTTTTATTTCATGTACCTAGTGTGTACAACAGTTCATAAAATCATTCCAAGGGAGAAAGCACTTATCTGTGCTTATCTATTGCAAAATGACCCAGTTTATTAGTCTTTTTTTTAAATTTTAAGACAGGCTCTCACTAAGTTGGTTAGGGCCTTGATAATTTGCCCAGAGGCTGGCCTCAAACTCATGATCCTCCTGCCTCAGTCTCCCAACTTACTGGGATTACAAGCATGTGCCACTGTACCTGGCTGTTTATTAGTTTTTGATGACTGCATAGCAAGTTACTACAAGCCTATTGGCTTAAAAGAATACCTGTTTTTGGTTCACAGTTCCTTGATCACAAATCCAGGCATGGTGTTCACAGATTGTTCAGGGTTTCACAAAGCTCTGTTCTCATCTTGAGTTATGAAGTCCTCCTCCAAACTTATACAGAGCTTTATGCAGAATTCCATTTCTTAAAGGACTGAGGTCTCCTATCTTTGTGGGCTGCCAGGGTTGGGAAGAAATGTGCTCCCAACTCCAGCAACTACCAACATTCTTCACAACACTGATTCTCCACACCCCCATCAGCTTAAATGTCCACATTGCAAGAAATCTCTCACACCATGAGTTTATTTGCTCAGGAAGAGCCTGGTCTTTTTCAGAGCTCCCCTCATTAGGACAGTCCAACTCACCAATGGATCGATACATTCATGTATCATAGCTGAATGGACTACTGGGGTGGGTGGAAACTATAGGATGTGAGACCCAGTTGAAGGGAGTAGGTACTTGGGGGCATGCCCTGGTCCTGAGTGTCTGTCGCTCCCTCTCTTCTCCCCTACCCCATCACTTCCTTCCCGGCTGCCCTGAGCTAAGCAGCTTTGCTCTGCCATTTTCTTCTGCCATAAAGTTCTGTTTGCCTCACCCTGGGCCCAGAAATAAAAGAGTCAGCTGACAATGGACTGAAACTTCTGAATCATGGGGCAAAATGAATCTTTCCTCCTTTAAGTTGTTCTTATCAGGCATTTTGGTCACAGGGTTGGAAAACTGACTAACATAAGGAGCAAGACGCAACCAATGCCTGTCTCTAACAACTAGACCCCCAAACTTCACTAAAGTGATCCCTTCTGAATCTCCATGAGGTTTATTGTCCACATTCTGGAATTCACGTGTCTTACCATGACGTGCTCATCCATCCCAGACAATCTGGTGTTACAATGAAATGAACAGATTTTATATTCTAATGAAATTCAAGATGTCCAGATAGTTTCACAGTATTGTAGAGCCTAGGGGTTTCAAATAGTTCAGAGAGAAATTATTAGCACGTGCTACCATGCTTGCACCCTTCATCTCTCTGATGGTGGCTCCAATCTCCACCTTTACTACCTTTATCCCCAGCCTGCAGAGAACAGCACCCCAAACTTCCTAGCAATGCAGGTCAGAGGTTTTCATTTGCTTCCTAGAAATGCAGGTCAGTGGGCAGTGTCAGAGGTTTCCATTTTGCTTTAGCACAGTGAGATCCTTTCTCCAAAGCCAAGGGCCTAGTGTGGGGTTCATCCAATTTCAAGGGTTAATTATGCACTTGAAGAAATAATCTGGGTGTTTGCAGACCCAGGAGCCCCATGGTGAGCCAGATTTTGTTCATGTTAATTACTGGTCTGCAGGCCCCCACTGTAACGTGCAGACCTGACGTTGTGGGAGGCTGGTGTCTATATCAACTCAATCTCAATGCACAATACTCCTTAGCATTCTGCCTGTTTCTTTCCCGTCAAGTCCCATGACTAAACACTCAAGGTAACTCCAGGTGAACTGGGCTGGCACAAAAAATCACACAGAGACAGAGAAATACATTTTTGGGGGGTTCTGTGAGAGCTCCTCTGACCTTAGGGGTCTGTGGAAAGAAGAGAGCCACTGGAATTTTTTATTCTTATATAGGGAGGTTCCATGGAACATTCTATTCCAAAGGGCAAAGGCATAGGATTACAAAGGAATAGTTGAGTGTAATTCAACCCTAGTGGGCGCCACCTACTCCTGGAGCCATGCCTTGATATTCGAGCTGGGCAACCCCCAAGTTACTGGGGTCTGTCACTATTGCCAGACTATTGCAGTAATTGTTCAGAGCCTCCTGCTTCAGGACTTCAAAGTGTCTGCATCCAGTGCAGCTCCCGACACCTTCCCCTGGTATAGTCTCCCGGACAAATCAGTTGGGTTCCTTGGTAGAAGGACTGAGGAAATTGTCACTGTATATACTCACCATGATATTCCAGGTCCTTCTTCCTTCATATGTGGACATCATCACATTTTCAGATATGGACAACATCACAGTTTGGAATCTAAACATTGGCTCAGATTTGGAAATTGAGAATGGAAATAATTTGTTTTTAATTGGCTCAAACACCTTCAGCCTTCTGATCTTTAACTGCTTTTTTATCACAGATACAGAGCACTGTTCTGCAGGCTGACTGTCTGTTTTGACCCTAAGGACACTACCCTTCATGGACCTTCTCCACCGCCCTCTGCAGGTGGAGTGCTTCTGGCCT